CGCCTGCAGCTGGACCTCTGTCAGCACGGGGATCGGGCACTCCCCTCTCTGTGCCCACCTCTCCAGGAGCTCAGAAAGCCTCGTGTGTGTGCTCAGTGATTAATGGGGACGTTCCAGACAGCTCTGGCACAGTCCAGCTGAGCCCTCTGCAGGGCTGCTTCTCCCAGGCCACATTTTGGGATGCAGCGATGGCTGAGGGACACTGAGGAGCTGTGTGACCTCACACTTAGCCCAAATAAAGGAAAGATGTCTCCATCACAGGCCTGTCAGGGTTTAGCTGCCCAAACAATCTGTGAGTGTTTAACAAGCTGCTGAAAACCACTGGTGGACAAAAAGTATTTCTGGCATTTTTGGATTTCGTGTCAAGCTGAGTTCCCTAACCCAAAATGTGATGATCAAAACAAGATGCACCTCTCTGGACTTCTGCAGTGACCAGGCTTGGAGGGAACTGTGGCTGTAAAACATCCCAGCAGCACAAAGGTGTTAGTGGACACTGTGCTTCCATGGTTTCCCTGGTGCTGGCATTGTCCTGCTCCCTGCTGGCTGGGCAGAGGGACACAGAGGGACTTCATGGGACCAGCAGCTGTCCCTGCAAGTGTCCCAGGCTGGGCTGGAGGGGCTTGGGGCACCCTGGGACACTGCAAGGTGTGGGATGGGACAAGGTGGTCTTTAACCAGAACCATTCTGGGATTGTGTGACTGTCTGAGCTGAGGCACAGTCACAGACAGCTGGAAAAACAGACTCTGCTGTTGCCTAAACACCACCTGCACCGGAGCAAAGGATCCTCACAGCCGTGTCCTTCAGAGCACAAACAACACCCTGGTCACGAATTCTCTCCCCTGGGCTGGAGCCCCGCACTCAGCCAGGCTGGGCTGGCTCTGCCCTGGACACGTGGGCTCCTGCTGCTGTTACCCCAAGGAGCGCCTGCTCCCACCCCAGGCAGCCCTGCAGCCTTTGCTGGGTGCTGATGCAGAGTTATCCTTTACAAACTCCCCACAAACAAAACCCTCTCTCACACATCTTTTCCACAAAGCGCTGCCAGTGAAAACCTAGGGTTTGTGCTCCTGACCCGGAGGCATTGGCGTGGCTTCTGTCATCCTGGATTTTCAGTGACCTTCACCCACGCCCTGGGTGCTGCCACACCCAAGGCAGTGGCTGAGCAGTGCCCGGGGTGGCCGTGGTGCCACTGAGCCCAAGGAGCACCTGCTGTGGCACTGCCAGCCAAGGCATGGCCTGCTTGGGACCCAGTGTCCCTTCTAGGACACACAGCCCTTGGATCCAGTGTCCTCATCCATCCCCATCCATCCCCTCCAGGACCCAGTGTCCCCTCAGCCCCAGTGTCCCCATCCATCCCCTCCAGCACACACAGCCACCAAAGTCCACGCTGATTTTCCTGCTCAGGAAGAGCCAGAAGGGAAGGGCAGGGGCAGAGATCAGGAGGCAAATCTTGGCTCTCAAACAATAGCTATTGTGTAAATGTATTTTTACGTCTGTCCTAAAAAAAAAAAAAACAAGCGATTTCGGTGTGGCTTAAAAGTTGCAGTTAGTTAAATGCCAGGATTTTTGTGGAATCATAAAAGGGTTTGTGTTGGAAGGGACCCAAAGACCATCTTGTTCCACAGGCAGGGCCATCTCTCTCTGTGCCAGGTTTGTGCAAGCCCCACCGAACACTTCCAGGGCTGGGGAATGGATAGCCAGAGGAGACGGACACAACATTTATATTACAGTGTCCACATCTGTACAAGCAAATAAATCTAAATCTTTTGATGTCCTGAGGCAGTGTGAGAGCTGTCAGGGCTGCCTGGAGGGGCTGGGACTGGGATCACTGGGGTGGGACAGAGACCCTGGCTGGGCACTGGGGTCCAGGTGGGGGTCCCAGGTGGGGCCAGCCAGGGACATCCATGCCCAGGGACATCCATCCAACCCCAGCACAAACTGTTTTGAGAGCTCCAGGTCATTTCAGTGAAGCAGTCAAATGAATCAAGTCTGATTTTGCTTCTTTCTTCACCTAATTAGACAATGGGGAGATTTATGGAATAATTGAGCCAACTCAATGTAGCTTTAATTTGACATCTAATTAATCAACGTCCTGCTCCTTCACAGGTGCAACATAAACCCTTCCTAACTGCTGCAGGCATGTCTCTGTTGTTTCTGTGGGATAAAAACCCCAATCAAACCCCATTTCTCGTTTGCTCCTGCCACTGGAGCACAGAAGCTGCAGGAATTCTGTCATTGCCCCCAGACAGCAGAGGGGACCTTGCTGGGTGGTCCCATGCTCTGATCCCATGGGATGGGCTCAGTGCAGCCTGCTGGAGGCACAGCTGCCTCCTGATGCTGCTGAAAGGTTGGGAGGGATTGTGTTCCTGCAGCTGGCCGAGCCTGGGCAGGGCAGGGAGCTGCAAACCAGGACACACAGGGATCCAAGGAAAACCCTGGCCCTGTTAGAGTTAACAGGAGTTTTGCATTTGACCTCGGCAAGGTCAGGGATTTTACCCAAGGAACATTAGTCACCAGCATCGGGATGAATTAGAGGAGTTGTCAACAGAAAGCAGGCAAGGTTGGTCCCATGGGTGGCTGAGTTTGGAACTGGAATAGCTGGAAAAATAATGTGCAGCTTATTCCATTGATCCCTGTGCTGTGTGCAGGGCCTGGTGCAGCACCTCAGCATTCCTCCCAGCTCAGCTCCAGCCCATCAGACAAGCTGGGGAATGCTGTGTTTGGGATGGAGGGGAACTGTGGGGTTACATTTCCTTGGGATGGAGGGGAACTGTGGGGTTACATTTCCTTGGGATGGAGGGGAACTGTGGGGTTACATTTCCTTGGGAAGCCTCCCAGAGCTGGGCTCAGCTGTCCCAAAGCAGCCCTGGGCAGGCAGTGCCCAGCCCTTATTCCCATTCCCAGGGAATCCCATCCAGCCCTGGGCAGGCAGTGCTCAGCCTTTATTCCCATTTCCAGGGAATCCCACCCAGCCCTGGGCAGCAGGGCTCAGCCTGAGCTCCCATTTCCAGGGAATCCCACCCAGCCCTGGGCAGGCAGTGCCCAGCCTGAGCTCCCATTTCCAGGGAATCCCACCCAGCCCTGGGCATGCAGTGCTCAGCCTGAGCTCCCATTTCCAGGGAATCCCACCCAGCCCTGGGCATGCAGTGCTCAGCCCCTGTTCCCATTTCCAGGGAATCCCACCCAGCCTGAGTGCCACTGGCAGCAGGCTCCAGCCAGGGCATCCCTGGGCATTGTGTGCATTGCAGGCAGCTGGAAGCCAGCGCTGCTCCCCCCCTGCCAGGGACAGCTGCTCCCGTGCTGTCCACCTGCACGAGGAGAGGTGACAAAGGCCGAGGTGAGAGCCAGCCTGTCCCTGCCAGAGCCCTGGGATTGTTCCCTGCTCAGCCCAGTTGGTTTTGGGTGTTCCTGAGGCCACACACTCACCCAGACTCACATCCCTGAAGGATGCACGGGATGGGGCACAGGAGTCACAGGGGACATCAGCTCTTCAGGAAAACATGGATTATTGTCCTTGCAGAAACCCACTCGTGGAATTGGCAGCCAATATTTGGCAGGATTTGCTTCCTAGAGAAGCAAAGCTGATCTGTGAAACCTGGAGGGTTTGGGAATTGCTCACATTTAGGAATGAGCAGGGCTGGATTTTGGGTTGGTTTAGGTTAAACCCTAAAGCTGGGTCTGTGCCCCCAGTACATGGAAGGGACTGGGAGTGCTGGTTTGCACTGGGAGCTCTCCTCCATGGCAGAGTCCTGGAGCTGTGGGCTCTGAGGAGGTTGTTTGCATCCAGCCCTTTTTCCAGGATGTGCCCAAAGACCAGGATGGTTCCTGCAAGGATGAGCAAAGCAACAGAGAAAATACTGCACAGTCAGAGCTACCAGCATGTTCCTGGTGGATGTTTAAATCCAAATGTTGTGGATACTTAAATCCAAAATGGTTTGGATATTTAAATCCAAAATGTTTTGGATATTTAAATCCAAAGTGGTCCAGATATTTAAATCCAAATGCTATGGATAATTAAATCCAAAGTGGTTCGGATATTTAAATCCTAAATGTTTTGGATATTTAAATCCAAACTCTTCTGATACATGTTGCTTGAAAAAGAACCAACAAAAGCTATTTATACATTTGCTTGAGAAGTCCCCTGCTCTCATTCTCCACTGCATTGATGATCTCTGTGTTTCTCCTTTTAGGAGGGTGGCTGGAAGAAGCTGCCAGCTGAATTTCTGTTTTATTCTCCTCCAAGTTTTAACTGAAGTCAGGAGAAGTGTGGCTGGGCTCCCTATTTTGGGGAATCATTTCCTGGCACAGCACCCGGGGTGCCTCTGACTCCAGAGCATCCCATCCCATATTGCTCCCATCGGGCTGAAGGGGAGCCTGTGAGTGCCTGGGGACAGCAAGTGACAAAGTTCTCACCTGTGAATTGACTTCATCCCCCACAGACCCAGTGGTTTGTCCTGAGGGCAAGGTGAGGATTTGTTGGTCCAGGTGTTGAGGATTAAATGGACAAAATCTCCTTTCCTCATCTCCCAGACTTCCTGTGGAAATCTCCCATCCTGTGTCCATCCTCACCCTTGTCCTGCTGCTCTTCCATGCTGGGTTTCCATATCTTCTGTGACTAAATTTGGCTTTGACAAGGTTCTTCTGATCACTCTGCCACATTCCAGTATCTGACACCCATCCCCATGTTTTAGTTGATACAAGGATTTTCAGGAATCTGAACATTCCCCAAGAGCTTTGGGAAGTCTGGAGCCACTTTTGAGTATTTTGGTTTCACTCCCCACCCTGCACTCCCTGTGCTGATCCCACCTGTGGCCTCACCATGTCCCTGCAAGTCCCCTGGAGCACCACAGTCCCCTGGGGCCACCACAATGGGAAGTGATTCAAAATCAGTTTTTTCCTCATTTTTCCACATTTCTGCCAACATTTTTCTTTTGCCAAAGATACATTTTGCTAGGTTGGAAAATTTCAAATTTTATTTCTACTCAGCCTTGAATAATCTCTGAGCTCATTTCATCACCTGCAGGCTCCTCATTCTTTTTTTTGCCCACCTTTTTTCCTTTCAGTCTCTTCTACAGCACTTCCTTCACTTTGGAATCATTTGAAAGTAACAAAGAAAATCAAACAAACGGGGTGTTTTCCAGATTTGCAGAAATTTTGAAAAGTTACAGAATGGAGAAGAGAATTTAAAAAAAAAAAAAAAGGAAAATTTTAAAATTACATTCAGTTACAAAGTAGAGTGAAAGAAGGAAAAAAAGAGGGAAAATCAAACCAGTTAAATATTTAAAATTATTTTCCAGCCATACAAAATCTTTCAAATTTCCCAATTTAAATCTGACAGCAGCAGCAGCATGGACACACATAAATAATAAAAGGATAAAGTCCACTGGGATTAAATAAGGAAAATTAACTTTTTACATTGAATGATTGAGGAAAGCAGAAAGTCCTCACTGCTGGCATTCTCTTGGCAGTGTCAGAGACCTGGTGCACCTCAGGGCTGGGTTTCTAACCACCTTCCCTGGCTGGCAGGTCATCAGAAGAACCCCAGAGTGTCCCCAGGGAAGGTGGCAGCTGCTCCTGGGGCAGTGTCCCCATGGCTCCCACGGTGGGACATTGTCCCAGAGTGTTCCTGGTGTCTCCCTGGCTGCCAGAGCTCTGTTGTTGGTTATCCTGACAGGTGAGATGCCATTGTCCCTGTGGCCCTGCAGGCACTCTCCCTGCTCTGTGCCCCATTGGCCCTGGGGTGGCCTCAGGGTGGCCCTGTGGTGCCACTTGGGCAGGGTTTGGTGGCCCAGGATCACAGGTAGGTGGTGGCCCAGTGTCACAGGTAGGGATTGGCCCCAGGGTCACAGGTCACAGGTAGGTGGTGGCCCCAGGGTCACAGGTAGGTGGTGGCCCAGTGTCACAGGTCACAGGTAGGGATTGGCCCCAGGGTCACAGGTCACAGGTAGGTGGTGGCCTCGCGGCTGTGGCGCTGGCGGGCCTGGGCCACGGCCACGTTGAGGCACTGCAGCCACTGCTCGGCGTTCTTCTCGTCCTTGGCCTTGAGCACGTAGCTCCTGCTGTCCGTGAAGATCTCGAAGGCGCGGGGCACGCTCCGGTCCCGCCGCTTCTTGGGCAGCACCTTCACACTCTGCACCTTGCTCAGCTCGATGGGACACTCGTCAGGGTCGTCCTTCTGCAGCACGGGGGACAGGGCAGGGTCACCGGAGAGGAACCAGCCCTCACAAACTGCCCAGGGTCACCTGGGGGAACCACCCCTCACAAACTGCCTGGGGTCACCAGGGGGAGGAACCAGCCCTCACCAAACTGCCCAGGGTCACCCAGGGGGAGGAACCACCCCTCACAAACTGCCCAGGGTCACCCAGGGGGAGGAACCACCCCTCACAAACTGCCCAGGGTCACCAGGCAGGAACCAGCCCTCACAAACTGCCCAGGGTCACCCAGGGGAACCAGCCCTCACAAACTGCCCAGGGTCACTGGGGAGGAACCACCCCTCACAAACTGCCCAGGGCTCTTGGCAGTGCCCCAGGCCGGCTTGGAGCAGTCTGGGATAGTGAAAGGCATCCCTGCCATGGCAGGAGGATGGAATGAGATGGTCTTTATGCCCCCTGAAAGTTGGGGACCCAGCAGTGACAGCTCCTGGGCAGCAGCCTGGCTGCCCTTGGTGTTCCCTGCCATGCACTTTGTGAGTGGGAAAACCATCATGGGCAAAGCTGAGGGGTGAAAGCCTCTGGGAAAACCAGAACAGCAAAGCTCAGGGGTGAAAGCCCATGGGAAAAGCACCACGGGCAGATGTGAGGGCTGCAGCCCCAGGAGCAGGATCAGGAGCAGGGAGCAGGATCAGGAGCAGGGAGCAGGAGCAGGAGCAGGGAGCAGGGCAGTGGCTCTGTGACTCACGGATTTGCCCCTGCGGAACAGCAGCTGGTTGCCAGCCAGGGTGAAGTAGCGCGTTTTCCACCTCTTGATGAACTTCCAGCGGACCTGCTTCTCCTTCAGCCTGCCCTCCATCAGGGGCTGCCCGTCCTGGTTCATGCCTGGGGAGGGGAGCACGCGGCCAGGGTTAGTGCTGTTCTCCCTGCTCTCAGCCAGGGTTAGTGCTGCCCTCCCTGCTCCCAGCCAGGGTTAGTGCTGCCCTCCCTGGTCCCCACTAAGGGCTCTGCCGTGCCTCAGGAAGGTTGTGCTGCCTCCTCATCCTCCCAGCCTCCAGCATTCAGCTCTCACTTCACACTGACAGCTCAGCCCTCAGCCATGTCCTGCTGGGGAGGCTGAGCAGATGGAGCTGACAGCTCACAGCCCTCTTCCATCTCCTCTCTACTCCCTCAGCCATCCCAAACCCCTCCCCAGCCCTGCAGGGCCCATTTCTGGCCTTGGGCACTGCCAGGGATCCAGGGGCAGCCACAGCTGCTCTGGGCACCCTGTGCCAGGGCCTGCCAACCCTCCCAGGAGGAATTCCTTCCCAGGATCCCACCTAACCCTGCTCTCTGGCAGTTTAAAGCCCTGACATCTCCTAGGGGTCTCTTTTTTCCTTTCTCTTCTGTCTTTACATCAATGGCCAGGACACAGAGGATCAGCTAGACCAGAGGGCAGTGCACAGGCAGTCTGAGCAGGGATGTTTTGGATGGGGTGTTTGCCTTGGAGCCCATCCCAGCATCTGTCAGAGGGGCAGTGATCCCTGGCTGGCTGCTCTCCCAGCCCCCTGTCCCTCCAGCCCTGCTTTTCCTTGAAAGCCTTCGCTGCCATGGGCAGCTCCCGAGCCCAAAGCTGTGCCCAAGTGCCACCCAAGGCAGTGCCAATGCCTTTATGGCCTCCTGGGCACCCAGCCCCTGTCTGGAAGGGGGCACACCAAGGCCAGGACGAGGCATAGCTGTAGATAAAGGACGTGAAGGACGTGTCCTTCCCCCAGCACTGTTTTCCTTGGCAGCGAGGCTGGCGGGGGTTGCAGTGTGCACTCGTGCAATTTCCTCAGGAAAGACCATAAATATTTCTGTCTCTGCAGGCAGGGAGCGCCTGGAAGGAGCTGGATGAATGAGAAGGGGCTGGCAGAGCCTCAGGGCCGGGGGAGCTGCAGCTGTGGGTGCCACAGGAGGAGCAGACCATGCTCTGCCCCACGCAGCCACTGCAGCCCTGGCTCCAGAGCCATTTGGGTATTTCTGTGCCAGCCCCATCACAGCACCCAGCCTGGCATGGGGCACACCAAAGCAGAGGGCTGCTTTCTCCCTGTATGGATATTGTCACTGCAAAAGGGGATGCATTCTCCAAGAGGCTGGTTTGGGGATGCACCCTCTCCCCCCACACACTTTAGTGGGACAGAACCACACTTTAGTGTCCCCCGCACTAAAAACTTTGTAATTTGTTAAATATTGTTCCCTGCCTGGCTCCTGGCTCCACAGGAACATCTTCAATCCCATTCCAGAGCCATAGGAACATGCTTGAACCAAACCAGGAGGGGTAAAGCACAAAAGGCACAGGGACCAGATGATACTGAGATAGTTTGTGGTCAGGAGCACAACATGAGAAGGGAAGTGAATGTGCAATTTTGGCCTAAAGTGAATTTTTATGGCCAAAATCTTTCAAACCCAGGACTTGCTAAGAAATGTTGATGTCTGTAAGGAGCCAGTGGCTTTAGGCAGTGCTACCAGAGGACTCTCCTGTGTGTGCACAGAGGAGCTGGGGGAGTTCTGGAGGCAGCTTCCAAAGTGGCCCTAATGAATCCGATGCCAGCGCGTCTGAGGGGCTCATTAGGAGAGAGAGATTCAAGCAAGATAAGAATAAAGCTCCTTTCCAATGTTTTTCTAAGTCCTTCTGCTTATTTTCCTTGCGGTTGGCTTCACAGAGTCCCAGAATAGCTCAGCTGGGAGGCAGCTCCAGGGGTCTCTGCTCCAGCTCCAAGCAGGGTCACCCACAGGGTCAGACTGGGTTGGATTTATCCACGTGGGACTTGAAAAATCTCCACAACATCTCTGGGCAGGCCTGGTATCCTCATGGTGGGAAAGCTTTCACTCACAGGGAACAGCTCCTGTCCAACATCCCCTCTAAATCTCTCCCCTTTCAGTTTGAAAAGGTCATGAAATATCCAAAGGTCTTGAAACACCTATTTTTTCTTAAATCATCTCAATTTAGACACACTGACTCCAGTTTAACCCTGAGTAGTTCCCGTTGATGTGTCTGTTGGAATTTTCTACTTTCCATCTTGTTTTCTTTGCAGACCTACAACACATCCAGCTCTAAGCAGTTTGGGTACTGAATAAAAAGTTAAAAACCCTCCAAACCCTTCCAAGATGAACTTGAGACAGACAAAACCCAAAGCTTTAAATCTTGAATTTGATGAAACATAAAATCCTCCACAAGAATTCATGAATGATCTCAGTGATAATAAACCCCTGTGAACTTGAAAGAATGGAATGTGTGGCAGATAAATGCAATTAACCTCAGGGAATATGGATTCAGTCTCTTCCATTAATCACCACGTTGGGTTTTGCTGAAAACCTGGAAGGAGCACATTGCTGGATGCCACTTTTGCTGATTCCCCAGTGAGGATTAGAGCTGGGCTCCTTTGTTTCTCTGGGTAGCTGGCACTGCAGGAAGGGATAATTCATTCCCAACTTAAGGTGGTGTTGGCTTTCTCAGGGAATTGCAGTTTTCCAGAGGGATTCCCAAACACCCTCCGTTTTCCCCCAATCCCAGATCCTTGCCCATGGCTCCTCTGCAGCCCCCAGGGATCCCTGCCTGGCTTTGTGAGCTTCCAGAGGGGGAAGGAGCTGGAATTGCCTCAATTCCCTCAATTCCCTCGATGCTCTCCGGTGGTTTTGGGGAATGTTTTGTGCAAGAGCTGCTGGAGCCAAGCCCCCAGTGCAGGGGGCTGTGCTGGAATGGGGCTCCCAGCAGGCAGCTTGTCCCAACAGGAGGAATCCTGGTGCTTTGCAGCCCTCCAGGTGGCTGTGCTGGAACGCTGTGAGCTCCTGTTCCTGCCCTGAGCCCAGGGAACAGTTCCTGTCCAATTGGTTTCAGATCAGCAGGGGTTGTGGCAATGCTGCTCCTCAGAGCAGGAAAAGCCAATCCAGGGTGATTGAACAGCCCTTCTGCAGAAGTGTGGTTGTACAAGACATGCTTTGGCACCACAAGAATGCATGAGGAGGAGTCAAACTTTCTCCAGTTGTCACTGTGGGTGCATCAACCACTTTGCCTCAGCTTAACTGGTTCTTTCCACACAGGATCAGCTTCCAGCCCCAAAATGCCTCCCAGCTACGGCCAAACAGGAATCACAGAAACATGGAATGGTTTGGGCTGAAAGGATCTTAAACATCATCTCATCCCAGCCCTGCCATGGCAGGGACCCCTCCCACTGCTCCAACCCCAGTGTCCAACCTGGTCTGGGCACTGCCAGGGATCCAGGGGCAGCCACAGCTGCTCTGGAATCCCATCCCAAGGCAAGGTCAGGCTTTAAGGCTGTCTTTGCCCAAGTCTGCAGGATACATGGCATCTTGCACCACGGCATCCAAAAAATGCAACAAAACCCAAGCAGAACAATAATAGAAAAAAAATTTGCCTCTGAATTCCTCCTTCAACAGGAATTCGGTTGCTAAACAGAATTGCTGAGAGGAAGAAGTGGCTTTCTTGCCTCTCAAAAGTATTTCAGATGTCAAAGGGCCTTTCACACTCTGGAATGAAAATAAAAGAGATGTTTCACAGCCTTTAAATTCCTTACCAATCCAAGGAGAGCTCAAATCCTTGCTTGTGTCAGATCCTACAAACCCAGAGAGACCCTGCAGGGTCTCCCACTCTGCCACAGCTCTGCAGCACCAACACAAAGGTGGAGTTGTCACTCCCTGCAGATTTTCATTCCACTGAGCTCCCTCTTCCACCTTGCCTTCCTCAGCTTTCACATGACCCATTCATGGAATTTATTTTCTTGGTTTTTCCAAAGGCCTTTGGAGCTCAGAAGCAAATCATGACACTCACAATGAGCCTTTCTTACAGAAATTCTTTTAAAGTGAGACAAAGAGAGGAACTGCTGATGAAAAGGACAGTTACAGCCAGGAGAGCAGGAGTGAGGCAAGGCTGGACTGCTTAAATGTCTTTGGAAATTCAGACCAAAGTTGCTTCAGTAAGCTTTGACATTTCAAGCAAGAGTCTCGTTTTCCTCATCGCTCACCATCCCTGACGTGGTGGAAACCACACTGAGAGCTCTGTGCAGATGAAGTTTTAACCCAGGGCATGGAAACCACACTGAGAGCTCTGTGGAGATGAAGTTTTAACTCAGGGCATGGAAACCACACTGAGAGCTCTGTGGAGATGAAGTTTTAACCCAGAGCAGGGTTTCTGTCCTGGTCCTGCAGTCCCAGGGGAGCTGGGGAAGGAGAAGATGCTCAAACAGCCACGGAGTGAGCAGGGGCAGCCCAGCCTGCAGCAGCAGCTGGCCACTGCTGCAAGACTTCCTAAATTCGGGGTTGATGCAGCCTGAAGAGACACTAACTGTTAGAATAAATCTCTGAAACAGCCAATTAGTCAAACACTTGGCCAAAACAGTCCAAATTCTTGGCCAGGACTGGTCAGACTTTTACAGAGTGGCAGAAAGGATCTGAGAACAAGATTCCTCTGCACTGCTGCCTGCTAGAGAGCTTCAAAAGGAGCTCAGACCTGGGAAAAAGCCTGGTTTCCCCATTTCCCACTCACACCTCTTTTCCTATACTGAAGTATTCTGCCTTTATAAGACTTAATCACATGTCCCTAAGGAGATGTGCACTGTGGAGTAAATTACATTAAAGCAAACAATTCTGAGAGTGAAGAAAGCAGGAACCAGGTATTATTTCTGTGCCAATGTGTCCCAGATTTGGGGTCGTGTCCCTCTACGCACACACCAAACCAGGTTTGGGCCTGACTCCCTCTCCTAAGATGACTTTAATGGAGAATTCCAACTAAAATAGCCACTGGAAGGTTTGGTTTCCCCTTTCCCCACCACGCCACACACCCAGCACGAGCAGTGAGCTTCACCCAGGCAGGACCCCCCTGTACCTGTTGCCTTCTCGGGGTTGTTGCACATGAAGCACTGCCAGGCTCCTGCCTCCTCGCTGTAGCCAAACAAGTCAAAGAACCTCACCTCCTCCAGGTGCATCTGAACGCTCTCCAGGTCCTGCAGGGAGGAGAGAAACCAAACTGGTGAGGGGAGCAAGCACCAGAGCCCCAAATCCAGAGGGACACAGGGGATCCTTCCCATGGCTCCTGCAGAGGGACAAGGGCACTGAGCTGGGCAGGACTGGGCACTGAGCTGGGCAGGA